AAACAAGGATTTGCTAAGATTTTTGTATCATCGCCTACATGGAAAAAATTTCCCACCTCCATAGTAAGTATTCAAAAGCATACAGGGATGGGTAAATTATGTTTTGACTGGCACTTTTCGTATATTTATGAATGTATATATTCATATATATTCATCATATTTTTATATATTTCATATATTATTCATCTCATGATATATTCATATGTCTTCATATTCATATATTTATATATATATATTTATGAATGTATATATTATTGGTTTAAGGTTCCAAGATCTAAACTCATAATTTTCCCAGGAGAGTTCACGAATTTTGTGACAGTATTTACTCTATTTACCTTGTTCCGACATTTTTCGACATCTTCATTGTCATATTAACATCTAGGAATGTGACACACTTGTTTCCATTTGGCCTACTGTGTTTTTAAATACAGGCTTTTTACATATCACCTTTGAATATATTTTCAGGAAGCGTATGTTGAAATCCTTTTTGCAGTACGTAATCTGTTCAATGAAACAACGTTAAAGATTAATACCCACGAGTCAGACACTCTACTGAATCTGACTATATCGCCAATACCACCAGCAGTTGTTCCGTAATTCTTCAGTTTTCGATATTGTTGGGGCGCACCCACCTTCTAACTAGTAATGGACTGGTCCCTCTTATATAAGTCAGCTCTGGAGAGAGAGTGACAGAGCGTCAGAGAGAGAGAGAGTCAGCGTGAGCAGTCCAGATAAGCTTACCCGGTACATACCGTTGGACTATAGACTTTGGATATTGTTTCGTACTAACCAACCTTCGTTCTACTAATCACTCTATTGTTAATTGCTTTTATGAATATACCAGTATTTTCCTCTACAACTGTGTTTGTCTTGATTCATACACCGACACGCGGGAAACTCACAACATCTCAACAGATATCAAAGGCTGCCAGTGAATATTCGGGGGAAAAAATATGGCCGCCTTTATACACGCCGCATTGAATATTTTGAGCCTTCCGATTGGTTAACCCTTCTATTTGTGAAAAATAAAATGAGTCAGCTCATTTTGGCTAGCTCACTAGTACACCAGGGTACCCAAAAATTACAACACTTTTTGATACTCAAAATCCTGTATCACCCACCAAAATTTCCAATCACCCACCATTTTCTGTTCAGTTACTCATCGCCCACCCAACAGGTGAAATCGGTCTCCGGTGGCCAATATTACCCAAATGAGTCCCATCAGACAATCCTTCTGCTTGCCTAATGTTGTTTCACTTGATACAAAACAAATTAAATCAAAACCGCCATCTTTATACAAAGATAACGGTTGATTGTTGGGACTTTGCAAGATCTGTCTATAGATATAGCAGCCTCAAGTTATTATTGATCTGTGTGTAATTTCTTCATATTTCCACACAGTTTTTAGTCAGAGTGTACAATATTTTAATTTACTCGATCGAGTTTTGACAAGTGAGAAGCTTTAGCCTAATTTATAGGTTTGAAATTCCAAGTTCTAAACTCATGATTTTCCAACGAGCGTTCACGAATTTTGTAACAGTATTTACACTATTTACATTGTTGGGACAGTTGTCGACATCTTCATTGTCATATTAACAATGTTTCGAGTGTTGTAAACCACGGCCTTCTTCAGGTGATATGAGTTGGAATTTAGAACCCTTTATTTCATCCACTGGTGTAGATTGTTCTATTTCCACGTGCCATGCCTTCTCTGGATATCTCGATTTCAGTAAATTCCCTTTAGTTGCTCAAGTTTTGTTCACCTCAGATGTGGCAAAGTATTGAACTTATAACTCTTTGGATCAAGTCTCTGGGTTACTTCAACCAATGCTTTTATCCATTGAGCCAATCTACCCCGGTGAAAGAAATAAATGGTTCGCCTCGAAATTCGGAAGTATATCACCTGAAGGAGGTCGGGGAGGACAACGGCCCAAACGTCGTGAATATGGCAATAAAAATGAGGACAACAGTCAGAACAATATAAATAGGATACATTTGTTAAAAAGCAGTGTTTAATTATTTTTTTCTCTGGGCAAAACCATCCAATATGGTGTATTGGGCATATTTGTTATCAGGAAATGTAAAACTATTTAAAAATAATATAAACCTGCTCAATTATTTTTAATGACTAAATTTATGCTATTTTTTTGCAATGAAAAATCAAAATTAAAATTTAAAGATATTTAAAATGTTACTCTACGCTTAAATTAAAGAAAACGTACGTGGGGGAAAATATCATATATACATGCATACCAACCTTATATTATAGATTGATAATGTTGCAGCATACCTACGGACGATAACGGGTATGTCCCCATTAACATAAATGCAGTAGTAAATACTGTATGTTGGTCTGCAGTTAGAGATTCGTTGCGGAATTCACTTGATTCAGTTCTAGTAATTAACTACTTCTTCTACACCCTGCTGGCGAATCTTATATGTGTTGTTCTTGTCCTAAGTGTTATCGTTCATTACCAACCAGCGTTTGATTATTCTGTTCTGTAATCATTCCTAGGTTGCAACAGATAATTTATCATGTATTATGTAATAAAAAATAATAGTTTAATATACATTAAATATCTTCTCAATATTTCTTGATTTCTTCCTCGACTTCGGCTGTTAACAAAATAGAGTGATTCCATCTATGAAATCGTTTTGTAATCCAGTATTTTATAATGTATTGGATTATGTTGCATAGGGACAAATAAATATATTCGTGTATGTTCGTGTGATCATTACGTACGTAATATTTTTATGACTCTCGTGCAAACCGGGCCTTATTCCTCCTTTTTCACTGTCGTGCAAACCGGACCTATGCCTTTCTTTTTCATTCTCGTGACTTATATCAATGTATGACATTCGTTTAAACCTGACCTGTACATATACCTTTTTAACTCACGCTCAAACTGGTCCTGCTTCTTCCTTTGTGTCACGCGTTCAAATTGGTCCTATCTGCTTTTTTGTTACTAGTTCAAAACGGACCTGTGCCTTCCTTTGTGTCACGCGTTCAAACTGGTTCTATCTGCTTTTTTGTGACTCGTTTAAAACGGACCTGTGTCTTCCTTTGTGTCACGCGTTCAAATTGGTCCTATCTGCTTTTTTGTGACTCGTTTAAAACGGACCTGTGTCTTCCTTTGTGTCACGCGTTCAAATTGATCCTATCTGCCTTTTTGTGACTCGTTCAAAACGGACCTGTGTCTGACTTTTTGTCACTCGTTTTTTAATTCCAGTACAAACTGTACGTATGCTTTTCATTCTCCTGATTATATGAATATGTGATATTCGTGAAAAACTGACCTGTGCATATACCTTTTTAACTCTCGCTCAAACTTGTCCTATATCTGTATTTTTTTGTCTCTCGTTGAAACTGGTCCAATATCTGTCTATTTGTCACTCGTTCTAAATGAACCTATGTCTTCCTTTTTCACTCCAGTGCAAATCGGACCTTTTTCTACCGTTTTGGTTCTCGTGAAAACCACCGGACCTCCGAATACCATCTTTGAATATCGTTTAAATTAAATCTAAGTTTAGCGTTTGAAACCGGACCTATGTCTTTCTTTTTCGCTTTCGTGCAAAGCAAACCTGCATATACATTTTTCACTCTCCTTGAATCTCCTTTGTCTTCCTCTCTATTGTTTATCACATTGATATCATCGGCATGAAATAACCGGGAAGAGGCATACCATAATATTTTGTCATTTACTTGCTTCTCAAATTAGTGAGGCCATTTTCCCAGCGTTCCCCTGACACTCCCTACGGCAAGAAGAACATTAAGCTTGACAGATTTTTTTATTGTCATTTTTCAAGTTATAATAGAATGTTAAAATTTTCCTGTTATATTATAATAAATGAATTGCTGACTTTCCCTTTTGGGTTTGATCCCTATTTGAAAACGGAACCTGGGATCAAGACAAGCTCTTAAGACGTATGGCTGAGAATAACTGCTTCAGAGATTGCGCCTGGTACACCCGTGTTCAAATGCATTTTTAACTTTGTAACGTAGAAAGACATTAACTAAATATTATTATCATGTATTTAAAAAAAAGACTCCTGTTGGAGAATTGTTGTAGAGTAGTTTTCACAGTGGAGGCTTGTATTTCAATAAGTCGTCCTAAATTAGGTTCGACGTACAAAAAATTAGGAACTTGAAATAAGAGTTAATGACACAGCAATCTAGTTGTGATGGTTGGTACTTAAATGTCCTATATCGACTGACTCGCTCAACACCACTGCTACTACTACTACTACTACTACTACTACTACTACTTATTATGTGTGGGAGAGTCTATTAATAATAGAATAGGTAAGTTAGGTATGAAAAGAATTAATCTATAATTTTCATACCGACGAAAAACTTCCACACCCAACTGATCTAGAATATTTCTGCGTCATTTTGCCCTTGGAAGATAATTTTACTGAGTGATATACACGTAACTCTTTCCATATTTTCTGCTATAATTTCTAATCTAGATCCCCACAGAGCTTATGGATTCGACGGTAGCCATACAATTGGCCTAAATAAATGTGCTTCTGAAATGGCTCCTGTTCTCTCCAAACTTTACAATAAGTGTCTCACTCCCGATTGCTTTGCTTCCCTGCCACCTACAATCATTAAATAAAACGTCAACCGCCATGTTTTCTTTTCTTGAATCCAGTTCTTTTATTGTCCTTTTCATATCTCCTCCCAAAAGTTTTATTCTCTTTCCCTCCCTGTAACCCCTCGCGCCCTGGTAGTATTATCGCCTTGCTTGGGGTGAAATTACTTTTTTTTTAAAATAGAAAAATATAGTGAAAATTTAGATAATATATTCTTACTAAACGTATTCATATTTTTTATAAGAACGATTTAGCAGGAAGTATTACCCTTGAACAAAATCTACAGAATCTGAGGAGTCTGCATATCAAAAGATTTGATTGGATTACCTTGAAAAGATGTTACTATTTCGATCTTCGAAGCAAAGTTTAAATTTATCAGATAAACGCACCCTCCCCCACAAAAAAAAAAAACAAAACCAAAAAGGTTTTTTGTGTTAAATTCCAGCCGAATATAATAATCTCTAAGGGGCACGAATTCACACTTCTCATTTGTCTCCCTCTTTAATATTGGCAAACGATTGCCATCACTGACAATGAATTATTGAAATTAAAACGGCGCATGCGTAATATACCAAATAGACTGGTTTAATATAAAATGAATTCGTGACCACTGCCAACGTACCATAGCATAGGAATAATTTAGACCGACCTTATTAGCCTTATCATCGAGGGTAACTCTTTTGTATTTATATCCAAATCAGTTGGAATTAATCAATTTTACATGAAGGAATAATTAAAGAGATGTTATCACCTCGCCTTAATTCTAATCAATACTGGAAGGAAAGAGATGGATGTGGTTAAAATGGATGACAAGAAGGAAAGTATAGAAAAAAGTAAATAGAGAAGAAAAAGGATAGAATAATGAGAACAGGTATGGACATCCGGAAGACAAGAAAATATAAGAAATGATAGTGGGAAAGAATGGTGGATATAGACAGAAGAAAGTGTAAAGAGAGTAAGTGAAAGATTCTCTCTTTGCTCAAAAGGAAAAAAAGAATAAAAGGATGAGATCAGAAGAGGTGTAAAGAGAAAGACAGAGAGAGACATAGTTAGAGAGGGAAAGAGAGAGATGGTGGGAGAGAGATTGAAATGTGGAAATGGTGATGATGTAATAGAAAAAGACTGAGAGAAGAGCAAAAATGGCGGAAAGAGAAAAAAGAATGAAAAAGAGAATACAGGAAGAGGAGGCAAAAAAGAGAGACAATTGGTTGAGACGGAGGTAATGAAGAAGAGAAAAAGGGAAGAAAAAGAAGGTGATAGCAGAAGAAAAAAAATTGAAAGATAAGTAGAGAGAAAGGTAGATAGAGGAAAGGGAGAGACTGAGGGGGGAATTGAGAGTAAAAATGATAGCATAATAAGCAAAAGGTCGATAAAGGAGAGAAAGGAAGGGAAAATGAGAGAGAGAGAGAGAGAGAGAGGGGGATATGAAGAAGAGAAGGATTATTAGAAAGGGAGTATTAGAAGGAGAGAGAAAACTGGATAAAGAGATGAATAATGAGAGAGAAAGGTGTAAGGTAGAGTAAGAGGAGCAAAAAGGAAAAAAATGAAAGGGGGAGGGTCAGAGTGGAACGAGTGAGTAAAACTGGCAATGTAATAAACAACAGGTCTTGTGTAGAGAAAGAGGTAGAAGAAGTAAGAGAGAGGGGGAATATCAAGAATAAAATATTATTAGAAATAGAATGAGTGAAGTAGAAAGAAAGGTAGATAACAACAATAAAAGGGAGAGATAGAGGAAAATAGAGAGTGAATGAAAATGATAGAGTAACAAAAGTCATGGACAGAGAAAGAAGGAAAGGAAGTGAGAGGGAGAGAGAGAGAGAGAGAGGAGGATATGAAAAAGAGAAGGATTATTAAGAAGGGAGTAAATGAAGGAGCGTTAAAATGGCGTAAGCAGAGAGAATGAAAGCAGAGAAAGACGAAAATGTATGAGAGGAAGAGAGAGAGAGAGAGAGAGAAAGAGAAAGAGGGGGAAGAGAGAGATTTGAGAGAGAGAGAGAAAGAGAAATAGGAGGAAGAGAGAGATTTGAGAGAGAGAGAGAAAGAGAAATAGGGGAAAGAGAGATTTGAGAGAGAGAAAGAGAAATAGGGGAAGAGAGAGGTTTGAGAGAGAGAAAGAGAAAGAGGGGAAGAGAGAGATTTGAGAGAGAGAGAGAAAGAGAAATAGGGGAAGAGAGAGATTTGAGAGAGAGAAAATAGGGGAAGAGAGAGATTTGAGAGAGAGAGAGAAAGAGAAATAGGGGAAGATAGAGATTAGAGAAAAGAGAAAGAGAAATAGGGGGAAGAGAGAGGTTTGAGAGAGAGAGAAAGAGAAATAGGGGGAAGAGAGAGATTTGAGAGAGAGAGAAAGAGAAATAGGGGGAAGAGAGAGATTTGAGAGAGAGAGAGAAAGAGAAATAGGGGGAAGAGAGAGATTTGAGAGAGAGAGAGAAAGAGAAATAAGGGAAGAGAGAGATTTGAGAGAGAGAGAAAGAGAAATAGGGGGAAGAGAGAGATTTGAGTGAGATTAGATGAATGTGGAATAAAGAAGTAAAAGTTTCAAATTCCGTATTCAATAATCGATTAATGCTTCGATGATTTTCGTAGACAAGAGTGATGTATTTACATATAATTTCGGACGTATTGCTAATTCAAACAACAATAGATTAAATTCTTACGATAATTTGATATAATCGAAAAGGCGCAGTATTGATTAATTTTAATAATAATAAATTCAATAATAATGATTTGAGAAATTATCGATATATACTGACAATCTCGGTCGGGCAAGAAAAATTGTCAAGTATATTGAATTATTTCATTTACAGAATAAAAGCTGAAACATCACACTGCTACCTTTTAAAGTGCCTTCCAAAAGCTGAGAAATGTATTAAGAAACAGAAAAATATCGTTAGAAACAAAGAAAAAAGATACTAAACGATTATATTGCATCAGTCTCGCACTTCCCGTCTGTGAAACTCCCTTCCTCTTACTTGCTTCCCTGATGGCTATAATCTTCAATTATTCAAATGCAGTGTCAATCGACATCTTCAGATGCCTAATTCCCCGTCCTTCTCTTCATCCTTTCCCCTATCACGCCTCTTTACTCTTGCTCCCAATCTCTTTAACCTCTTGCGTGATAGTAGCGCTCCCGATTTGCAGAAGGAGAAATGCTTTAAAAAAATGGCAGCGAATGCTGAACAATCCTTCAAATGAAGAAGAGACTTGAACAACAGCTATTTGGTTCTACAGAAGGATGCTGGGAATACCAACGGCCGAACATGTAAGCAACGGTGAAGTCCTAGAGAGAATGCCATACATTTATGTTTTACATTGAAGAGAGTTGAATTTTTTTTACAGTGTTTCACACTCTACAAGGCCTGAGGACACTCCAGGACGCTCCGTAAAGAGGTAGTTTATATGGATAGGAGGGGGTGACGAGAGTAAACTCTAGACTTTAACAGGTTAAGATTGTCAAAATTCTTGGGCACATAATGATGAAAGAGGGTTGGAAAAATTGGATTACAGGACAAATTGAAGGTAAGATGACGAGAGGAAAGTAATGCAAATCCTATCTGGTGAGTATGATTGAACGGATGGCAGAGCAGAGTTTGGGATGATAGCAAGGCAAAATCTATTAAGAGCAAAAAAAAAAGGGCGTTGGGGAGAGAGCCATTATCGCAAACATTTTGAAAGGATGTGGAACATAGAAGAAGCCCAATAGGAACTAACAGGTGGTACCACCTCGTGTGTTGGTGGACCTGGGAATACCAGCAATTAAGAGGTCGTTCGACGTTCCTCAAAACGTGATCAGAGGTCTTGTTGTTGGATGTAGTTTATCGTCTTACCTAGGATGCGAAGAAGAAGAAGAAGGAGGAGGAGGAGAAGAAGAAGAAGGATTACGACAAGAAGAAGAAGAAGAAGGAGGGGGAGGAGGAGGAGGATTACGACGAGGAGGAGAAGAAGAAGAAGAAAGAGGATGAGTAGGAGGAGGAGAAGAAGAAGGAGGAGGATTACGACAAGAAGGAGAAGGAGGAGAAGAAGAAGGAGAAGGATTACAAGAAGAAGAAGAAGGAGGAGGAGAAGAAGAAGAAGGATGAGGAGGATTAGGAGGAGGAGGATTACGACGAGGAGAAGAAGAAGAAGAAGAAGAAGGAGGAGGAGGAGGAGGAGAAGAAGGAGAAGAAGAAGAAGAAAAAGAAGAAGAAGATGAACTACCCCTATAGTCACTATGATCGGTTGCCTTGTCAATAAAGTTCCGTGCTCTGAACATCGATTGGGTCTCACGTTAAGTGAAACTCATATATATAATGCATTACTCAGGATTTTTTGAGCAATATTGTCCTCTTTCTGACGCTCCCGTAAGTACTTATCGTATTCTGCTAGGTCCTATCTTTATAGGACTCAGATTAACCCAAATATGAAGACTTGCCTCTACGTTTGCATCGGAGCTGCTCAATGCCCACTTTTCATTCTTAATTCAGAATTCAGAATCATTTATGTGCTCTTGTGGGACATAACACTATTATAATGTGTGATATCATTTGTTTACATTTGATACGCCATGAGCAGACATGAATGTACGTGAGAGATTCATGGAAGATTGAAGTTTAAATACAGTAAATTCAACAATGCTAACCGAACGCTCCTTCGTGGCCAAATCGGTAAAGGCACGTGAAGCTAAATGACGGTTCCGTATAGGATATAGGTTCTAATCCTGTCGGGGGACGAATATTTTCTGTAAAAATCTTTCGGACATTCAGGCCGGTAAATGTTGCTTAATACTGTTTATTATAAACAGAGCATTTACTTAAATATTTGTATCTATAAAAAGAATGTTAAACATAAAAATGTCTTAAAATAATTGGACTTTGTCCATATATATATATATATATATATATATATATAAAATCCTTCTCAGTTTATATTCAACATTTACAATCAAATTATTCGGCATAGTAAAATGGCCGCCAACTTACGTCACTTGATCTCATTTTCTGAGAGTTTTAGAGTTGTTCTTCCTTTATTTTTAGTATTTTAATATTTCGTACATTACTGTAGAAATTCCAATTCTCGGTTGTAACAATCGTTTCGAAGTGAAATTGTTTTATGAACCACTAAAATATTACCGTAGACCCTCAATTTTCTTTTTTTTATGCGAACCCCCAGTAATGTTAATGTACCATAGGATCCATATGGACCCCCTTTGAGAACTTCTGATAGAAACAAATCGTAGAAATGCCTCGAAATCATTAATTTGGATACTAAAATATGATATAGTTTTGATATAGCTGAAAAGTACTGATTACTTGCATTTTTATTCTTTTTTATGCAATGTCCCTTCAGGACGTGGATATTCATTGCTCTTCCTGTCTTTTGTAAATTTTTGCTATATTTTCTGATACATTTTCTACCAAATATTTACATAGGCTTGTTTATTAGGTGGGACATAATTTCTTTTATCCCTATTGACTTTGCTATGTCCTGTGACATAACATCTTCAATTTGAAACATCGGCATATATATATATTCATTAGGCTGCGAACTAATTAATCTAATGACGTAGTTCCTAAATAATCTTGATTAACGGTTGTATTTTTTAGTCATTTCACACCAATCAAGGCAATAAAGTCACTGAGACGCAAGAGATTATTGTGTGTGAAAGAAAATTAATAAGAAAATATCTCTATCTCTAAAAGGCAGGATGTGTGTGTGTGTGTGTGTGTGTGTGTGTGTGTGTGTAACGAATGCACGGCCGCAATTTTCGACGGATTTGCACCAATATTTACATGCAGATGCTCCAAGTTAACGGAAGGCCAAGACCGACTTTGCAATTCCCAACTCTTCGATAGTGAAAATAATCGATTTTTTCATGTTTCTACGGCAGTTTTCATGTAGTTTGCAGCCATTTTCTACTGGCCAGAGTGCGAGCCTATAACTGGCTGCTACAAATAAGAAGGAAGATTCTATTGGCCAGCGTGAGAGCCAACAGCTGACCTACACGAATGTTAACTAGCATGCTAGCATGTAAAAAATCGATAGCAACATTCGTCACAAGTGGGAAAAATTTAAATCTGCATGGCACTTTACTCCAATTGGCTCATTCGCTTGCTTAAACTCAACGTTGATTCTGATTTCGCAGAACTGGGTTGGGTGTGAAAATGTATTTGTTGTTAACATTCTTTTTTCAATTGCTTTTTCCAGTTACGAGTCCTTTTTTTTAAAGCTGATCGTTTTGTGTTCATTTTGTTTAGCTCTTTTTTTCGTAACAGATTTAATGTTTAGTATAGAGCTTAGAAAAAATCTGCAGTGTGAGATAGGCAAGAAGTATGAGTCGTACGATTTTTGAATCATGCATGGGCAACGCCGGGCCATGCTGCTAGTTATTAATAAAAGAACTGGAATCAAAAAGACAAAACATAAAGATTGATATTACATTTAGGTTTTTTGAAGATCGAAGTTGGTTCTAAAGCATGAATCCAGAAGACATTAAGTCATTTCGACTTTAAAATGATGTGACCTTGGCGCCAATCTAATGCTACGCTTAAATTTATAAATTCCAGGTACCATAGAGAAAAGTTCACCAGAAAAATTCTCATGAAAGTATTTATAGAAAAGGCACAGTGAAGCTACATTACGGCATTAGGAAAGGGACTAATGAAGAGATGCCAGGTCAGGATCAATAACATTGCAGTTTTGTCTTTAGATTTTACCAAGGATCTCTTGCTATATAGAAAGAGAACGAAATCATTTGTGGCAGCAATATTTAAAGCATTAGTAACGACAGAGAATATTGATTGATTCGTTTTTTATGACTTATCAACCCTTTCCAGGTTATTTAAAGTCAGGAAATATATTTCAGTTTTTTTAGTTAATCCTGGTTTAGTGATTGAAATCTTACTAATTTACCCATTGTTGGATGGAAAAGAGTTGGATGCATACATTTACCAAGAGTCTTTGCGCGTAAGTCAATATAATGAACCAAACAAGAATTTGAACTTCGTTTACTGATGAACAATTGCGACCCATTATCTGTTACACTATCCGCACATCCAAGATTACAGAACATGGCACTCCCTTTGCGTTCACCCATCGAGGTACCCGATGTTGCTTAACTTCAGTGATCGTACGGGAACAGGTGTTTCAATTTGATGCTCTCGTAAGCCAAAATAAAGAGAAAAGCCGCGCCACGCTGGTGGAAAAGTAAGTCGAGATGCCAGGTCAAAACGGAATCCTTTGATAATTGAAAAAAAAAACACTGCCTTTATTCCCAAATCTTTCTCTGTCGATGTCTTAACTTTCAGAGCGAATATTATCACTCTCTCACTGTAGTGTGCCTCACTCTAATGTCTTCCTTTGTTGAAAATTTTGCGTTATAGAAAGATTCGAACTTTTTAACACTCGGGTCATATATATATATATATTGTTGTAGCATACCTACGGACGATAATGGGTATATCCCCATTCACATAAATATAGTATGTTGGTCTGAATTTGGAGATTAATTGTGGAATTAACTTGACTCACTTCTAGCAGTTGACTACTACTTCTACGCGTCGCTGGCGAATCTTATATGTGTTGTTCTTGTCCTAAGTATTATCGTTCATTACCAACCTTCATGTGATTATTCTATTCAGTAACCTTCCTTAGGTAATATATATATATATATATATATATATATATATATATATATATATAAGATATATATATATATTTCATTGATAAAATTGTTATTACTCTGAATAAATTGCTTCTAAGAATTAAATGTTATTTTAGGGTCTTTCTCATTTTGGCTTTCAATTACACACTAATCTGAATGCAAAGGTTTATAAAAATGATAATTCTTGTTTTTTTTTCGATTGAAATTTGTATTGAAATAGGATATTCCATTGATCTTTATATGGAGCCTTTATATTATTAATATTTAATAAAAAGAATTAGACCGCGTGGAGTGGTTGGTGGATATCCTGCAGTTGGCGATTCGTGTTCACCTGTGTTGGTCAAACTCTCTACCTCCAAGTGGAGAGGATCCTCAGACGAGGTTATGGCGAAGGACAGGGTCTCGTCTCGGGAAATGGCTACCAGATCCCGTTTTATGCGGGGTCTACGGGGAATTTTTTGCTGAGCCTACGGGCTCGGATACCCCATTTTAAATTCGTCTTTGTGACACATATGACTGCGTGGGGCAGTTGGTAGATATCCTGCAGTTGGAGATTCATTGTGGAATTCACTTGACTCACTTCTAGCAGTTGATTAATTCTTATAGGCGCAACAGGCGAATCTTATATATGTTGTTCTTGTCCTAATTATTATCGTTCATTACCAAACTTCATGTGATTATTCTATTCAGTAACCTTCCCTACGTTACAACAGTGGGGACGTTGTTCCAGAATTAGCGCTGATGTATATGTAAACCCCCCATTTGAGATACTATAGATATAATAATTTAGATTTTGTTACGTGTGATAATATGGAATAAGTTTAGTTTAAATAAGTTTAATTTATTGCATGAGACGAATTCTGGTATTTTTTAACATTCCCTGTCCATTCAGAGATCATGACCCTCCTATAGATTCCATATTTGATTATATGGGAACTGCCATGCTTTCTTGGGAAACATAATCATGTGGTTCCGCGTTGCCACTTTCTTCTATGTGCTGTATCTCTCCAGGAAGGGGGTAATAACAGCTCTTCTATTCCGTGTGATGCCCAGCAATGCTTGTCCTTTTGTCATAACTCCCTTTCCATCATCCATTCACAAAAAACTCGCTTGTCCTGCTGCCTTCTGTTTTCTTTTTCATTCAATGTCCTGTCAGTGTCAAATTCGCCAAGCAGTGTTTCCTCATTATGTATACCTGGTATTTCAGCTGTTTGAGAGCTAGGAAGTCCTGTCTACTCTGATATTTAAATCCGACATGTTGCATGAATGGAAAGTGTTATCATTTTCATGCCTTCTTGTACATTTGTGCCGCAAAAAATATTTGGAGGACTCTTGTGAGTCCGGGTAAAAAATAGCCAACAAATCATAGAATTAAAAAACAAAATGTATCAAAAAGATATATTACAGAAGGATAAAAAAAGTACTCAGTTGTAGTTATGAACAGTTCAATACAATCTTCACTCTCTGTCTCTTAAGTACTTATATGCTTTGTGTCTATCGGAGTGAAAGGAAACGGTGTTGCCGATTCGAAATTTAAAGGAAAACGAGAAAGATCGTTCAAATATCACACCGCTGGTAATTATCGTCATAGAGCGGTAATCGAACAGATGTTT